ATCAATACTACTCAGTAACTAATAGAAAAAAAAGTGTTAAGCATGTAAAGTATCTGAACAACCAATTTCACCTAATTATAAAACACTGCACGCAACAGCTGCACATGGAACATTTACACACACAGTTATACCTCGGTACTTGGCTTCAGAACTCATCAAAACCTGTACTCATCGCATTTTGACAAGAAAAAAATGTTTCAGCACTCGGCACTTGCTTAGGACTCAGGGCAATTGCTAGAACTTGTATGAGTCACAATGTCACCCTGTAAGAGAAAATGCTCTATTCTTCAGTACTTGGCACTCAGTTGTTCTGGAACGAATTAGTGACTACTGAGGTAACGCTACTTGATTCATACAACAATTCTCAAAGGATTTATCACAAAAGAGATTTTCTGACCACCATGGAATTAAACTAGAAATCAATGACAAAACTAGAAAGTAAAAGTTTGGAATTAAACATCTCCACGACGGAAGAAGAAATGACAATGGGAATATAAAATATTCTGAATGAATGATAAATTAGTATTTGTGGGGTTCAGCTAAAGCAGTACTTAGAGGGGAATGTGCAACTTTGAAATATATTAGGGAAAAAAGTTAAACCTTATCTAAGTTCCCATTTCAAGAATGGGAAACATGAAAGTGGAGAAATAAGCAGAGAACTTTTGCTTCAGGACAAGATTTACGCTTTCATCTGAAACAAATGAAAAAACAGCCTGGTCCAGCTGAAGAGCATCTGCAGTGACCTGGAGAGCTCTGACAGTCATGACGTGCCAGATACCATGTCTGATGAGTGTGGCTCCCATCGCCCCTGTACTGCAGCCTGTCCCTGATCTCCCAGAGCCCAAGGTGTGCCAAGCCCCAGTTCCCATATGAACCTCTATTACCCCAGTGGAGGGGAAGACTGATTTGAAGCAAAAAGGTGCAGAAGCCAGAGTTCGAAATGGAATGAATGTTCCTGTTCCAAGAATTCCCCTTAATCAATGAAACCCCAAAGAGGGTGATCCCCATCACTCCATCATCAGCAAATTACGGAGTGATAGGGTAAATTAGACCACAGGGAACCTGTTTGTAGAGCAGCCATTAGAAACCATGAAAATAGAGCAGAGGTAGCAGCAGCTGCATACCACAGGAAAGGAAATGTTGGCAGCTTGAATCTAGGCAAGTTAACTGCCTAACAGAACCCCCAAATCAATAACCTTTCAGAAGAAAACAATGGAATCCGCAGCCATTACAGTATATTAACTATAATGACTAGTTTCAATTAAAAAAGTAGGCATGTAATGAAATTGGAAGAAAACTTTGAAGAAAAGGCAGTCAATTCAAAGGAACTCAGTGTACCCAGATGTTTGGTTTAGCAATGACTTTAAAGCATCTCATATGTTTTGTTAAAATTATAATTATATCGATTGATATTTGTGTGTTAAACTTACCTTGGGTTCCTGAGATAAGTCCCATTTGATAATGAAAATGACATATTTTTCCAAATTTTCATAACTGTACATAGTTTTTAAAATTGGGTTTCATTTGAGATCCTACCACCATGGCAAATCACAAAAGCCACTGAGGTTAACATTCTTGCTGCAGTTATTTTTGGATTAAAATATGAAGAGTTTTGCACTGAAATATAAACTCCACAAATGTATAGGCTTTTGTGTGTTTTTCTGTATCTCTAAAAATTTATACAGCGTCTGACATGGTATACTAAATAAGTATTTATTGAATGAGTGAATGACGAAAAAATATGCTGAAATTACCAGTTGACGCCATGGAGTAAGAATGGCAGAGATTTTCCATCCATAACGAGGTAGGCCTGATTATGTTAACCTAGTTATTAATTACTTTTTTTAAACCCATGTCTATGTTAAGATTTCTTAATAGGCCCTGGCTGGTGTAGTTCAGTGGATTGAATGCCTGCTTGTGAACTGAAAGGTCACCAGTTCAATTACCTGTCAGAGCACATGCCTGGGTTGCGGGGTAGTTCCCTATATGAGGGTATGTGAGAAGCAACTGATTTGATGTATCTCTTGCACATTGATGTTTTCCTCTCTTTCTCCCTCCCTTCTCCTCTCTCTAAAAATAAGTAAAATCTTTAAAAAAAGATTTCTTAGAAGTTCAACAGAAGGTAAATAGCAGAGTAAATTTACTATTAATTGTCATGAATTTTAAAATGTAAGCTATAGGAGGCATACAATTTGTGGATTAAAATCATTTCTAGGGCAAAAATTTAATTAAAATATATAATGGGTTCATATATACATTAATTTTTTAAAAAGTATTTGAATATGTGGTTTTTCAGTTATCTGACTTTAATCCTCCAGTGGTTTATTGATTAAGCAGGCATGCCAGTTTGTACACTCAAAGGAAAACAAAATGACCAGAGTTATGTATTAGTAAGTAAACCTCACCCTGGCTGGTGCGGCTCAGTGGATTGAGTGCCGGCCTTCCAACCAAAGGGTGGTGGGCTGGATTCCCAGTCAGGGCACATGCCTGGGTTGCTGGCCAGGTCCCCAGTAGGGGGCGCGTGAGAGGCAACCACACATTGATGTTTCTCCTTCCTTTCCCCCTCTCTAAAAAGAAATAATCTTTAAATAAAATAAAATAAAATAAAAATAAATAAATAAAAATCTTTAAAAAATAAGTAAACGCTTAGGAAAGATATCAGAGTTTCCTTAAGTAAAGAATATATTTGTCTTTGAGAAATTTAGTATACAGCATGCTATTAGACTTTTGGACACGAGAGGGTGCTGGTGACCAAAATTCAGAAAGTCACACTATTTTTCTAACACCAAGAAGTGTCAAACAGAATCCAAGTGTGAGCGCCCTACTTGTGTGAATCCTCAGATCCCCAAAATTACTGGTTTGCAATGCTAACAGCTACAAAACAGATCACTTAGAATGTATTAAAACACTGAAAGAAGAAAAGTGTTACATAAAAGATCTGAAATGCAACACATTTGGTGCATCAGTGTAGAGGTGAGTAAAAGAGGCTAACATTAATTCTTGGATACTACCTGGCCTGATAGTTTGTTCCTATTATATGAAGTCCAGTTGACTACAGCATGCACTTCAATGAAGAAAGTAAAGAAAAATTGTTATGATTTCACATTTTTATTTTTTAAGAATTTACATTTTATTTTTCAATTGCAGTTTACTTTTAATATTATTTTCTATTAATTTCAGGTGTATATCATAGTGGTTAGACAATCATATACTGCACAAAGTGTTTCCCCCAATAGTTCTAGTACCCACCTGGCACCATACATAGTCATCACAATATTATTGACTATATTTCCTATGCTATTCTTTACATTCCCATGACTATTCTGTAATTATCAAATTGTACTTGTTAATCTCTTGGTCTCTTTCACCCCAGCCCCAACAACTTCCCTCCCTTCTGAGGGAGCAGCCACCAGTCCGCTCTCTACTGTCTGTTTCAGTTTTGTTTGTTCATTGAGAAAGTAGAAGTTTAAAGAAGTCAGATATTTATAAATAAAATGAGAATAATGCAGCTTTGCTCTTTTAGCTATATGATATGAACCATTAAACGGTCAGATTTTTTAATAAAACAATTGTGCTAGAAACTTATTAGTGAAAAATTAAATTTAATGTTTTTTCTTTGGATAACGTGTATAAGATTACTGTAAAGTATTATACTTTTCAAATGACATTCTAAAAACAATACTTCCCCAATTTGGGGGGGTGAGATTAATTGAAGCTAATAAGACAAAAGTTTAGGGAACATTTAAAAAGCAAACCTCTTCACTATTTCTTTGTAGCTGCTATTCTCATAGAAACATGGCATTTAGAAAGAAAATTGAAAAGTGAAAAAAATTTAAATAACAGTAAAACACAAAATGAAATTAGTAATGTGATAATGCATACCGTTAAAACGGAGTTTAAATTACATTTTTGCTTTTCTCCTTTAAAAACCATAACATTTTATAAAGATGTTTTTTCAAGTTCTCATGCAGAATAAAATAGCACAAAAAGAAAGAATGCGCCCTGGCTGGCATAGCTCAGTGGATTGAGCACGGGCTGGGAACCAAAGTGTCCCAGGTTCGATTCCCAGCCAGGGTACATTCTTGGGTTGCAGGCCATAACCCCCAGCAACCGCACATTGATGTTTCTCTCTCTCTCTCTCTCTCTCTCTCTCTCTCTCTCTCTCTCTCTCTCTCTCTCTCTCTCTCTCTCTCTCCCTCCCTCTCCCTCTCTCTCTCTCCCTCTCCCCATCCCTTTCCTCCCTAAAAATAAATAAATAAAAATCTTTAAAAAAAAAAGAAAGAATGCAAGAGAACATATTCCATCACATCACCTACCATTCATTTACATCCCCAAAAGATACCAACTAAGCTGGAAAAAAAAAAAACTGACATGACCAGCACCAAAAGTCCATCTGAAGTCTGGGTAATGGTCTTCATAGTACTGTATGATTAGGTCTAATTTCTCAACCATGAGGAAAAATGAAGTTTATGAATAATTTTTAAAAATCTTTTCATTTCCTGGACAACGTGAAGAGACAAAAACAAACAAACAAAAAACCACCTTTCTAGATTTGTCAACAACTGGTCTTACTATTGATTTTCACCAGATGATGGTCTATATGTGTAAGAAGACAGAGACCAGGAATTGATTTAAGACCCTGGGCATATCTTTTAACTTCACGGAGCCTCAGTTACCTCACCATAAAAGGGGAGTGATAATAGCAACAGGATCTTGGAGAATCCCTGATTAAATGGGAAAACACTTGTGAAAACACATAAAAAATTGTCTTAATAAAAGAGGTCACTAGGCAACTGTGCCCATTTCACTAAAGGTTACCGTTTCTAGTCCTAATTGTATGAGAGTGGGCAAGGGGTGGAGAATGGCTGGAGGATTTGCAAGAGCATGCTTCCCTGCTGCTCCCCCCGCCCCGTGCCCTCCCATTTCCCACATCTGGCAGCAGTTTACTTTGCCATCTCACATATGCAAGTGACTGCCACCTGCCTCTAGCCACTTTTGCTCACTTTTATTTAGCTGACTTGTTTTTAAGGGGGAGTGAAGGGGGACTTTCGGTGGGAGGTGGTACTTGGGATATCTTCATTTTTTAATTCGACTAGCAGAGTTTGTTTCCCTGTACCTATTTGCTCGAATCCAGAGTTACTATTAGTTTTCTAAGTTTCAGTGCGCTCCAGGGAACAGGGCAGCCTGGCCTGCTCATCATCACTACAGAATCCCGAAGTAGAAGGGGAAAAAAGTTCACGATCAGCCAGCAAAGGAGTGTAGTTTGCCTTGGTTACTTAGGGACAGGTGAGTTAGGCTTGCCAGGGTTACAAAAGATCTTCAGGGAGAGGATCCAGTCCCTGTGGATGGAGAAGGAGCGGAGCGGGCATTCTCGGTCCATCTCGGCAACTTGCCTGGGACTGAGAAGCCCAGCGGACATTTTAGTCCCCGCCGCCCAAGGACACTGCTCTGGCAGAGACAGGAGGAGACGCGGCGCAGGGAAGGGCGTCCTGTCCGCCCGAAACTGGGCATTTCGAGAGGATCCCTGCCAGAGGTTTTCCCAAGCGCTCGCGTCCAGGACCGCGGTCACGCCGCAGCAGCCGAGATGCGCTCCGTGGCTACTCCCTGCTCCTCCCACCGCACCGAGGCTCACACCCACGGGCGCCCCGCCCCCTCGGCCTTATAGAAGGGGCGAGCGGCCTCGGCGAGCCCGGGAGCTAGAGGCTTCCCCGGCCGACGGCGGGACTGCCTGCGTGGCGCGAAAGCCTGGGCACAGCGCCGACGTAGACAAGTCCCGCGGCGGCTGCGCCCGCATCATGGAAGGCAGCCCCGCCCCAGCTCTAGCCCGGGTCGCTACCGACCTTCGCCGGCTCCTGCACCCAGTCCACCTGCTCCCGCTGCCGCTCCCCGGGCGCCGTCCTGTCCTCACCTCGAAGCCAACATGAAGGAAGCCCGGGGCGACGGGAGCGCCCCTTTCTGCGCCCGTCTCAACTACTCCTACCCGGGCATGTGGGAGCCCGAGCGCTCCGCGGAGTCGCGGGGCAACCTCACGCGTGCCCGGGACACCGGAGAGGATTGCCGCTCGGTGTCCGTAGTCTTTCCGATCACCATGCTGATCACCGGCTTCGTGGGCAATGCGCTGGCCATGCTGCTGGTGTCGCGGAGCTACCGGCGCCGGGAGAGCAAGCGCAAGAAGTCTTTCCTGCTGTGCATCGGCTGGCTAGCGCTCACCGACATGGTTGGGCAGCTGCTCACCAGCCCCGTGGTCATCGTCGTGTACCTGTCCAAGCAGCGCTGGGAGCACCTTGACCCGTCGGGGAGGCTGTGCACTTTCTTTGGCCTGACCATGACTGTCTTTGGGCTCTCCTCGCTCTTCGTCGCCAGCGCTATGGCCGTCGAGCGGGCGCTGGCCATCCGGGCCCCGCACTGGTACGCGAGCCACATGAAGACGCGCGTCACCCGCTGCGTGCTGCTCGGCGTGTGGCTGGCGGTGCTCGCCTTCGCCCTGTTGCCGGTGCTGGGCGTGGGCCAGTACACCATCCAGTGGCCCGGGACGTGGTGCTTCATTAGCACCGGAGGAGGTGGCAACGGGACTAGCTCCCCGCCCAAGTGGGGCAACCTTTTCTTTGCCTCTACCTTTGCCTTCCTAGGGCTCTCGGCGCTGACCATCACCTTTGCCTGCAACCTGGCCACCATTAAGGCCCTGGTGTCCCGCTGTCGGGCCAAGACCACGGCGTCTCAGTCGAGCGCCCAGTGGGGCCGGATCACGACTGAGACCGCCATCCAGCTTATGGGGATCATGTGCGTGCTGTCGGTCTGCTGGTCGCCATTGCTGGTAGGTAGTTCCTGGGTGTGCAGAGGTCAGGGTGGGGCGCCTGAGGGCAATAGAGACTTCTCAAAATGACAGCTCCTGCTGAGGTGTGTTTGCAGTCACAGGGCTTTGGGGAAGCCTTTCTGTCAGAGCAATCTTGGTTGAAGCTTCTGAGTTGAGTTCCTCACTTAACTTGCTGATCACCTTCAAATTCCAGCCATTGTCTTAGGTTCTGGTTACATACACATGGAGACCACAGGGGCGCTCACATTGTAATTGGAGGGAGTAAAGAGAATACCCAGGTATGATTTCAATGCCTGTGCAGAGATGGAGGTTTCTCCTGGTCATATTGGCAATGACAACTGTAGCCTGTGGTTGTGGGTTTTCCCCCATATTTCAAATACCCCTCCCACTTTCAGTCAGCAAAAATCCCCTACCTGTGACCACAGGCAGTCACAACCCTCTTGCAGCTTCTGAGCCTCTGTGCCCTTTTCAGCGCGGCCTGCAATAACCTTCCTTGAAGGCTCACTTTAGACTAGAGGCAGGAGAGTAAAAGTGCATTTGTGGTTGGAGACAACCTTAGCCATTTGGAATCATGCAGGACCCCCTGGGAAGTGCTTGAACTGACAGTCAGTGAGTCAGTGAGCCCTCGAAGTTTTGTAACTCCGGATGGCCAGCCTTTGTTTACCCTTGTGGCAACTATTCAGGACTGGAGGCAAGGCCAAACCTAGGATAGGATATAGGGGTTTCTTCACTTCCCAGCTCTTCAAAGGGGTGCACAGTCTAGGAGCAAGTGGTGTTTCCACAAACTCCTTATAAAACAGCCACTCTTACATCTTACTTTCCTGTTACTTTCAGCTGGAGATTTCTGTGGGTAAGTGCTGTTTACTAGTTCCTGATGGATGGAGGTTTATATAGGCAGACTGGCTTGATAGGAGTTATGTTTTAGAAATAGTGACTTGACAATTATAACAGTTTATATATTGGACCTGGAAATTAGACAGTTGTGAAAAACTTCTGAAACTCATTGACACAAGTTTTCAGAACCCACACACATTGTTTTTCCTTTTAAATTGTGCTAAAATACACATAGCATAAAATTTACCATTTTAACTATTTTAAGTGTACAGTGATATTAAATACACTGACATTGTTGTGCACCACTTACAGTTTTAAATCTCTCGTATTTGAAAATAGAACCATAGTCTCTTTCCCCCTCCCACCCTCCCCATTCACTGGACAAAGCAGATATTCCAGAAGACCTGTGTTTCACTGGTGCAGTATATTTAGAGCACAAGTCTTGGCTCCAAATCATTGACAACATGTGGTGACAAGGAGAGTTCAAGACCTCGAGGGCCCGCTGACTGACTCTCGGTGCAAGCACTTCCTAGGGGGTCCAGCGTCATTCTAACTGCCTGAGGCTGGCTCCAACCACAAGCTGCTGTATGGTCACAGTTCTGCATTCCAGGAGCTAGAACTCAGGCTGATGTCATCACCATGGCTTATCAAAACCAGCACCAATTTTAGATATATTTACTTCTATGGTTGAAAAATGGAGTGTGTAGGTGGCCAAACAGAGGGGAAAAGGAGTTCCTAAGTAATGAACACTTTACTAAACTATGAAAATTAATATAACTTTAAAGGCAACAAAGAAAAATCTGAAATTTTCAGGACTGTCATTTGAGTCCCATGTCTTAGAGTTTGCTCTATCATATTGTTTATATCCTGGAAAAAATGCAATTAAGTCATATGAATAAAATGGTTACCCATACAGTTAAATGAATGTATAGATTTTTTTTTAACTAGAAGAGATACTATGTACAGTAGTGTGTCTTTTACTTTAAAACTTTAATACCATGAGCTCAGTGGCCTTGGGAGAATTTAGACCAGTTCTGAGAATCGTAACCTAGGATGGCCAAACTTACTCTCTTAAGAAATACTATTTGGAAATAGCCTTATTTAATTTCAATTAATACCTACATTCAAACAAATCCATTGGTTTGCAGCCTGTTTTTAGAGATTTTATTAATTCAGTTATCATAAAAACATTAAACTTAAAAAAATTTTAACATGCTTGATTATATCAAAGAGGAGAAATTAAAGATTTGCAAAATGGGTACTTTTTAAGCTGAAGCAAATAGTTCTATCTTCTGTTTTCTGCACCGTTGAAATTAAATCTCTAAATATCTTCAGAAAGCTCTCCACTAAAATGTTGGAATTATTTCAAAAGAAAGAAAGAAACTGGCAAAACCACTTTCTTAATAGGTGACGGAATTATAAGAATGAAAACACTAGAACTTAGTGAATTGAATTTTTAGTGCATTAATGTTAAAGTAAGAGATCGTTTTCTACATCTTTTTCTTAACTATGGGTAAAATACAGATTCCCTACCAGCTTTTGTTGAGTTGGGAATCATCCAAACTCCCTACTTAAAAGAATCCTGAGTATATTTTATCTTGGAAGTCTGTCATGATTATAACAATATGCAATTGTTACTGCCACAAGACCTAATAGAGAAGAGAATAAGAAAATGTTGCAACTGCTACAAGTTCCCACCACATACATATTTAAATATAGGTTTTCTATGCTGCCAATGAAAGGTTTTTTTACTTATTTTTTCCAGACACCTTACAAACTACAAGATGTGAAACTGAGTGAGAATACAGTGGAAAATAGTGTCACCATGTCTATGATTCTTAGTCCTATTTCTGTTCATTTGTCATTCTTTGGAATTAGTCAGTTGACTTAGCAATGCAATCTGTTTGACTTTTTATTATTGTTATTATTATAATTATTTTATGAACCACAGTCACCAAATAGTTCTGTTGTTTGACATAATAGCCAAGATTCCAAAAGCAGCAATAACCTTGGGTGAGTGTTGAGAGAAGCTATGAGTACATTTTGCGCTTTTATAAACCAGACATTCCCCATACAGGTAGAACGTAGCTAATACTGTAGTTATCTTAAAAATAGTAAATATAAAGTAACTATCAACAATGTGAAAAGTGAGGTATGAGGAACAGAGCAACTCATTTATAACAGGAACTGGATAAAAGCAGTCTTAGAAATGTTTGCCTTTGATCTTGAACCAGCACATTCCCTGCTCAGTGTCTGCAGTTGTAGACAAGGATGCTTTGATTCAAGAACATATTATACAATGTAGATGTAACTTTTTTTTTTAATGTAAGGAATCACTGATATAGTTTGACAAATAAAATTTGCCTGAAATATACTACATGTGATAGATTTGCTTTACAGAAATAATGCTGTTTTATACTATAAAATAGTTTTGTTCAATTGCAAATTTTCTCTACCGATAAATTTCTGCCATATTAAGCATATAGTTTCAGGGAAAATGATTAAACATATGAACTGGCATTATAGGAAACGTCTATAATTTGCTTTTGTAAGCATTGAGATTATTTTCAGTTCTTTACACTTTTTAGTTCACTACCATACATTTTAGGTACCATGCAAGGGGTATTAAGTAGACTTATGAAAAATGGTCAAAGTTGAAATCTGTTCAGGAAAGCAGAATTCCCACATTTACAAGTGAAACAATTAGAGAACAATGCAAGTTAAGATGTAATGAATGCCTTTGAGTCTGGGAAGAAAGTCTACCTGAATTTGCCAGAGCAGGCTTCCTGGAAGAGGTGGGGGGACACAGCTTGAACCTGGAGCTGAGAGCAAGTGGGCCCGGGAGCCTAGTGGGAGAGAGCAAAGCGTGCACACTGGATCTATGGGAACCATGGTATGGGAAGGCTCAGGGGGCCTGTGTGAGGTGATTAAGGGGAACAGAGGATGAGGATTGTAGGGTGTTTGTTTTTTGTTTTGCCAGTAGGCCATACAGCCTCTATTTTTAAATTTTTTTAAATAGGGGAGATAATTTTTAAAAGATTGGCAGTGCAGAAGAGTGTGGATAGGTGTGGGCAGGAAAAGTGAAAGTGAGCTTAGTTATGGCTTGCTTTTTCAGGTGGATTAGGGCTTTAGGTTAGAGACAGTAGGAAGAGATGAGTCAGAGGAGGAAAGGTAAGAGAGAACTAATGCTATTAGAAATGGTCACTTTTAGGGGTGATTGATTCGACAAACATTTCTTACGCATCTACTATGTCCTATTCACTGTGAAAAATTACCTCATTTGACTGCATCCTGTAGGAATGCCACTATTTTCTGTATCATTCAGATGAAGAACTGATATAAAGAATATTAGAATTAGAATAATTAAGGATATCTGACTCTGAGTTTGTTTTCAATTTTGTTGTCTATTTTCTTGCTTAGCTTACATAGAGGTGATGAATTCTAGTCTTATATATCTTTCTGTCATATATGCAAGTTATATATCTTTGTGTCTATAAAGTACAGAGGTAGGACTAACAGATATTTAAGGTTGTTCTCTATTTACATTATTCTCAGGTGTTCTTATTTGGGAGAATCATGGTTCAATGAACCAGATTGAGAAACTTTGGAAAAGGATTGGTAGATTGTATTTTGTAAGGATAGGAATCCTGAGTGACTAGGGCTTTTGGACACAGTATGTAAGATGGTGGATTATCTAAATGATATATCCAGAAAGCCCAAGTAATTTTAAGATTGAGATAAATCAAAGCTAAAAAAACACAGATTTTTTTTGGAGTTTATCAGAGAGAGCCAAGAATTAAACAGTTCTTAAGCCATCAGATTTGAAGAAATTCAGATGATCTAGAGTTGTAGCATAATTGTGAGTCATTGGCCTTTCTCTTTTGAAAAAGCTATGAAGGTCAACGACCGAATTGTGAAAGTTTCCACAGGTTCAGTTTTCTGGGAATAACACTCAGGAATATGCACTACAAACATTTGTAACAGACAATGATTCTTCTGGGGGTGTTGAGGCATGGTAGTGAGGGGTACTGGGTGTCCTGTCTCAGTTTTCAGATAGGTCTTGCATTACAGGGAAGCAGTAGGAGGGAAGTGCCCCCCAAAACTTCTTACATTTCTGTCATATTTTTAAAATCCACCAGTGTTCCATGTTTATCTCATTCATGCCT